AGTGCCTTCCCGAAGTGAACCAACTAAACCCCTTCACAGAAGTCTGTTTTTGTTCTTTTTCCTTCCCTTAAAATAAAGCCACACAATCCTTTATTCAAACAAAGTATTTCACAGCCCCTTGCTACACCAAGTGGGCAACAGCAGTGACAGATTGTGCTTCGGTGGAACAGGACTCTGGTCTCAGCCCCTCACCGCTGTACCTGACCTGACCTTACTGGGAGTCTTCGCTTCAGGGAAGCCTCTGTCCATAGTCATGCTACCCTGAGGTCTGGACAGTGGTGTATGTGGATTGTCGCCAGGGCTACTTTTAGTCCTCCTTGCTACCTTTGGGCATTTCTTTCTTTCCTTCCTTTTTTTTTTTTTTTCCAATTGTGAACATTATTTATTTAATTCATATATGATAGCAAAATGCATTACAAGTCATATTACACATATAGAGCACGGTTTTTCATGTTTTCTGGCTGTATACAAAGTATATTCACACCAATTCATGTCTTCATACATGTACTTTGGATAATGTCCATCACATTCCACCATCATTTCTTTTTTTTAAATTTATTTTTTAGTTGTAGTTGGACATAATACCTTTATTTTACTTATATGTGTTGCTAAGGATTGAACCCAGGGCCTTGTGCATGCTAGGCGCATGCTCTACCAGTGAGCCACAACCCCAGCCCCTCCACCATCATTTCTAACCCTTGCCCCTCCCTTCCCCTCCCACCCCTCTGCTCTGTCTAGAGTTTGTCTATTCCTCCCATGCTCCCCCTGCCTACCCTACTACAAATCATTCTCCTTATATCAGAGAAAATGGTCTATACCCAGAGGACTTAAAAATATGAAAACAGCATACTACAGGGACACAGGCACATCAATGTTTATAGCAGCACAATTCACAATAGCTAAACTGTGGAACCAACCTAGATGCCCTTCAATAAATGAATGGATAAAAAAATGTGGCATATATACACAATGGAATCTTACTCAGCAATAAAAGAGAATAAAATCATGGCATTTGCAGGTAAATGGATGGAGTTAGAGAAGATGATGCTAAGTGAAGTTAGCCAATCCCAAGTAATCAAATGCCTTTGGGTCTTTCTTGTCCTTCATGTGAGGGAAACGGCTTCCAAGCCCATTTCTTCCTTCTTCCTCTAAACTGAACTTGATTTTGTTGACTCTTTATCTTCATTTTTTTTTTTTTTGTATCTGGCATGAAGTCCACAAATGAGTGGTGGAATGAAAATAGAAATGCTGAATTACCTTTTAATAAGCAATAGTTCCCACAGGTGTTGGCAGTAAGCATAATAAAGGAACCTGGCTGAACTGGGAATCAAGGGGGAACTTGGTCCTCTGTGTGCATGCCCACATGAGCACCAGGGATTGGCCCCAGGGCCTTGTGCATGCTGAGTTCACACTGTGCCACCGAGCTAACACTCATGGTCCCCAGGGGAACTTCTTCATTGGTTCATGTGGCCACTTCATCAAGGTGTGGCAGTTAGTTCTGTTAGGCACAGCAGCCATTTCTTTAAAAGTGAATCTAGGAGGACTGTCTTGATCATCTGGGGGGGGACCCCATTTAGCTGCCCTTGTCACAGACATGGAGAAATGACTACCTTTGGACTCTTCTTTGGACACAGACTAATCCCCTTACTATTACAGTATCTTCTCACATTGCACAAAATACAGAATCATGCCTTGTGATCCTGAGATTCGGTCTTGTGATCTTGGGTTTGAACAGAACCCCAGTTACATGTATAAATGTAGGTAAGTGGAGGAGTTTTTCAGATGGAGAAACCCACCAAATCCTGTTGTGATTTTATTTCAACTGTGGGCAGTTCATAGCCTAACTCTCCAGCTTCTAGAGCAGAAGGCAGTGGCAGGCAGTTGCATGAATGCCAGCCCCCCCTCCGCCCCCAACTGGTTCCAGAATTCAGAGAGGACTCCGTGGCCAGTCCTTACCTGCTTTCTGTAGAGAATCGGCCTTCTTTTTGTTAGCCCATGAATTGATGGCTCTGTTAGAGTATTGTTTTGTGAGCAAGAGCTGGCAAAGGTTCCACTGCGTTTCTTTCTACCTGGAAGTCAAGGCATGTGTCGCAGCTCTGTCGATTTCTGCGCTGCTCTAATGAAGGGATGTGTCTCCAGTGTTGGTCACACAGTGAAAACCCATGTGGGCCTGTGTTTAGAAAGGTGCTCTTCAAGGAACTAGGATGTCCTGGGTGTTCTTCCCTGCTGCAGTGCTGACCACCTCCATCTCTCTGCATCTTGATTTCCTGACCTGTGGAATAAGGGGGTGGTATTCGGGCAGCATTAGGTAGTTTTGATGATGCCATGAATTTTAAGATTTACTGCAAATTGTTATGTGATGCTTGGAAGAGGAAAGGCTTCTTATCTCTTCTGTTATTCGAATTAGTGCTCATGACAAAGGTATGCCATATTTTTATTTGGAAATGTTTCAAGAGAGTATGAAACATTAAATTAACTGTACGTTCAGTTTTCATTTTAATTAGCATTGGGGCCTTATAAAGGGAGATATGGTAATTTGTATTGTTTTAAGCTTTCTTAAGATATTGTTCTTATCGACATTCATATTTTGAAGGATAAAAGCTTTTAAAAATATGTCTGTGCTGGGTACCTATCTAAATAAAAAAAAAATCAGGCTTTTATTAACCCAAACAAAGCTCCTAAAGAAAAAGAATAGGATGTATGAAGAGAATGTTTAAAGGAAGACTCTTCTGAGAATCTGCATTTAAACTTTTGCTGCCCTGCTTGGTCCCATATACAGTGTGGCATTACTGCTCCATGACTGGGCTGTGATTTTTGGCTTCATTATATTTCGGTCTACCCTTCCATTTTCAAGCCAAATTCAACAAAAGCCTGAAATAGTGTTTTAATAAACTGTGAAGTCGGGCATCTCTGTTCCGAAGCTCCCTTCCTGTGGAATTTCTGATGGTGTCCTTCCTACCTCCCGGTCATCCCTGACCGTCCCACCACCTGATCCAGGCTCCCAGGGGCCTGCTTTCTGCCTCGTGTCTTTGTCCCTGTGGCAGCAAGTTGGCCTTCGCCTCTGTCCTGTGCCCTTCTCCCTCTGCTGATGGACGCCCTCCCAGGTGTCTCCACAGGCTGGCTCCTGTCTTCTTGCCGCACAAGTCTCGTCCCCTCCCTGTTGGTCACTGGTGTGGCCCTCTGTCACTGAAAGCTCCTTCCCTGATGCCGTGTGCTGTTCCTTGTCCTTTATCTCTCCTCCACTCTGTGCCACAATTCACCATCTCCGGACCTCTTCTGTCCTATGTCCCCAGACACTGAATCATTAGGGATCCACCATTCGCTTTCTAGGAAGCAGGCTGTGTGTGTGTGGGTTTGTGGGTGGTCAGCGTCTCCTTGGCTATTTGGTGGTGACTCTGGGTGGCATGGCTGAAGTTCCTGGGAAGAGCACCTCCTCCTCATAGAGATTGTTAATGAAAATGGAAGGAATGTTCCATTTCTGGTGCATTTCACATTTACTGTAAGGAAAGTGTGTGTGTGCAGTGATGTGCTTCATACTGATAAAAAGGTAGCAGAACAGGCAGTAATTCTCTTGCATGCTTTGTGCAATCTACCAAAGTCGGATATTTAAAAACATTTATTAACAAGATTTCTCAGAATTCTCAATGGGAAAATTATATCAAAGTACTCTAAGAAGCTCCTGAAATGAAACATTCACAGGTGCTCTTAAAGTAGGATTGTGCTCTCTGTTTTTCTCTTTGTACTTCCCAGATTTTGGTGGTTCTCTTATCACAAAGAGCTGGTCTGTTAGTCCCAGTTTTGGTTGACTTGCAGTTTTGAAGGTGTGCTCCTGAAAAGTTCACACAGTGTGCGAGGTGTTGTGATTGGCCATTTCATAAGAAAGTCTCAGGTCCATAAACTGGGCTTACACACCCTCAGCTTTGTCTTGGGTTTCAGAAACCTAGAGTGTGCTGGGGCACCAGGAGACCCAGATTTGTGCAGAAAACACAGAAATTAAGGTAAACAAGAGCACCAGAACACCCCAAAGCTCTCGTCCCCACAGAAGAACTGAAGATCTGAAAGTTTAATTTGAAAGTGTGCAAAGGATATGAATAATTTCTAGGAAAAGATAAAAGCTCTGCTGGATCCCCTGCCGTCTCTAGCACCAGAGCAGTGTTTGCTGGGTGCAGTGTGCACCAAGGAGCTATGTCCACTCCAGCTCCCTATGCAGTGAAGGAATATCCAACAGCCAGACATGTACCCCTGCGAGCGACATCATACTTAGAGTTTGTGCTAGGGAAATATGTGAATGACCGTGGATTTCACATCCACGTTTGTGTATCACAGAAATCCGTTCTGAAATAGTCAAGTGTGCGTGTGTATCAATGTTGAGTGTGGATACATGTGTATGCATACATGTTCGTGTATCTGTATCCCACAGGAATCTGGTTATGGTGGATGCTGGTGTGGACATGGGTGGCAGGCTGGCAGGAAGCATAAGCCGTCAATAACTGTAGGTTTTCTAGGGAGCAGAAATGGGAGGAGGGTGTCGGAAAGAAGTGGGAATTTCCAGGAGAGGGGATGTTACACCTTCTAGTTACTCTGCTCTCCTGTTTGAATCTTTTTGAGATGTAATTTACTTTGATATTATTCTAAGAACTAGGAAAGATGATGTACGGTTTTAGGCCCATTTTTATTAATATTTTAAATAGGTACCTAGTTAGAAGGGTCATCATGTGTACCTGGAAAATGTGTTTTTCAAGGGTGGTTCAAATCCGTGTGAACTCTGTGTGATCGTTGTTTGGTAATGAGACGATAAGGATGCAGGCCACTGCCAGGCGGGTCTGCTCTCGTTTGTAGTGTGTGGTGCGCAGTGCAGAAGTCTGTTTTCCTCAGCAGTTGTCAGACCATCCTGGGTTCAGGACAGCCTGTTACTCTTGGGGACCTACCTGTACTAAGAGCAGTTTCAAGGATGTGTTTGTGAGCAAAAGAATTCACACTGTTCTTTCCTTATCTTTTAGAAAAGCTCAAGAGGAGAACAAGAAAGTCGTGCTAGCCGGGTGCGTGCCCCAGGCGCAGCCTCGCCAGGACTACCTCAAGGGGCTGAGCATCATCGGGGTGAGCTGGCGCTTTGTGGCAGAAGCCACTCTTCTGCTGTGAGCAGATCAGAGCTACATGCCATTTCCTGTTATCCTAGACGTGTTTCCTTTATTGCCTTGGAAACTTGGTCACGTCTAACTTTTTCCTTTTACCACAGGGGCTTTCTGGGTTTTCTCATTAAGAAAGGGTAGCACAGTCTAAAACATGGCCATGGGTTTGTGTCCCTGAGTGACCTGGTCTCTGTCCCTTGCCGTCTTTCTCCATATCCTTTCCATTTCCCATCTTCTGAACTTACCTGTCACCTCTAGTGCTAGGTGCCTTTCTGGAATGCCCCACCCCACGTCTCGGCTGTAGCACGACATGTCCTGCCCTCTGCGTGCCACCCTGCCCCTGGGTCCCCCGGCTGTGCGTGCAGTTACCTGTCAGTTACCCTCACAGCATGCAGTTAAGAATTTTATGTTTAGAGTCTGCTTCTAGGTTTATGTGTGATCTTTTTAAGACCAAATCTCTGTGGGAATTAATTACTATCCTCACGGGGACCACTTTTCAGTCCTCCTTGTTTTCCTCCCCTCTTTCCCAGCTGTCCCCACAATGCTAGCACAGTGGGTGCGCATGCTGTGCTCCCTGGCTGCCGCCTCAGCCTTGCACTGTCCTGCTGCCGGCTTGCTGTCCCCGACGGCAGTGGCTCTGTGGAGTCTGCAGCCTGCCCTGTTTTCTCCCTTCTCCTTTGGAGCCTCCTCTGTTCACTGAAAGCCATGTGTAGTGGGCAGTCGGTCAGTGTTGGTTTACAGTAGTGGCACTTCCTTCCAAGCCTTCTAGTAGGCAGTGCTCTGTAAGGTGACCAACGATCCTCTTAGCACAGGCTTTATTAATGTTTTGAAATACATTAAAGTACCGCATGTACCTAGAAAGGTTCACATGGGCAGCTGGCATTGAGCTTGCTAATGGGGATTCCTCTTCTGACACCCTCCTGACAGGTCTCATGTTGGGTTCTCCATGTCATGGGCTTGTTTTCTGCTGTGAAGCCCTTGCCCCCCTAGCAAATTTAATAATCTTTGAACATACCTTCTCCCTTTAAACAAACAGCCTAAATGTTTGGTGACTCTAGTTTGTTTTCACCATTTGTCTATTTACATTGTGATTCTCCTGGTTTAAAGAATGAAATGAACATGGGCCTCCTTAGTTGTCTCTTCATGTTGCACTAACTCTGCAAATAGAACCCTGCTGCGGTGGGGAAATGGGAAATAGTTAGAGCTCTTTCTTAGGATGGAATGTGTACATGCTTGCAGTTCATCTTGGGTTTCATCCCAAGGAATTACATGGCTGGAAAAGCAGACTTTCTGGGGAATAGAAAAAGCCTCTTCTCTGTGTACCTTATAGTGGTGTTTCTGAACTCTGTTGTGTGCAAGGAAGAGCTTCCTGTGTGTTTGGACATTCTAACACGGTGTGGGGGTGCTGGGAGTGTAGCTCAGTGGTGGAGCGCTTGCTTGAGGTCCTGGATTTGCGCCCCAGCACCGAAAGAGAAAGAAGAAAATAGAATTCCTAGCATAAGGGAGGGTGCCTGGTGCTGTTTGTGGGAGGCAGTTTGCAGTGCTGAGACACAGCTGCCTCCCTGACACCCCTTTTTTCTGTCTCATATTCCCATTTCATTGCCATTAGCATTCCTTGGATTTATTTTATCTGGCTCCTTTATGATGGGAGAAATAACTGAAGAACACATGTTTTGAAAAACGAGTGTAAAGAAATTCATGTTTCTATACACAATTATTATGACTGTTTATCCCTGTGAACATTTTAACCTTTGCATCGTTTGCTTAATCGCAACCTCGAATTGTTTTGTATGTGTATATTCTGTTTTTTACATGAGCTTTTTAACTATTAAAGTCCTGCATTGATGGTCTATTGAAGGGCTTGCCATCACTTGTTTCTTTATTGTTCCATATAAACATTTCCTGATATTTAGGAAATACACAGAATACATTAATTCCCACAGTGTGCTTTTTATTTTAACTTAGCATATTGTAAAATGTTTCCACAATTAAATATCATTAACATTTCATGTAGTAATTTGATTTTATACTCACCAGCATGAAGTATTATCAAAGTGTTTCTCTGTCAGTACCCTTTCATAGAACTTTTTTATTGTGGAAACTGTATGACATCTTATTTGTCTTAATTGACTTTTTATATATGAAGATTGGATACTCAGGACTGAATTAAAAAAAAATTAGGTTAGGAAACCAAAACTATCTTTAATTGGATGCCTGTAGAGGACTGTTTCTGATTAGAATTCTTAGAAATGCTGCAAAATTAGAAACTTTCTGAATTATAGTAAGTCACAATAAAATGAAAAAATGAATCACATTATTTTATGCTAAGAAAGAGTAGTTCTTTTTTTAAAATATATATATTTTTTAGTTGTAGATGGACACAATGCCTTTATTTTATTGTTTATATGGTGCTGAGGATCGAACCCAGCTCTTCAGATGTGCTAGGCAAGTGCTCTACCACTGAGGTACAAACGTGGCCTGGAAAAGTAGTTCTTAAGTATTAAAAAGTTTACTTTCAGTGGCATGAGGAGCTGTTTTTAGCAGGATGCTTGAGGCTGTATTGCACAGCTGATTTGCAGGCCGAGTAAAGAATGAGACTTCTTCATACAGCTCCTGTGATGGAAGGTGTTAACAGGTAGAAGGAGAAATAGCTTTAATTGGATTCTGTGCTTCTATAAACTTCCACTGAGACTGTCCTATGTCGGGGCACACCCAACACGGCACCTGTTCCCCAGGTGACCAGATGGTCTTACTGCATGCAGACCTGGTGGTTGGAACCTTCTAGGTGCTGGCCCTGCAGCTAACATGAAATGACCAAAGGTCCCTGTCCTCAAAGAGCTTGCATTCTGGTTCTGAGACAGAATGGCTGGTTTGAGTCCAGAACTTCTCCAGCCTCCTAGAGACTGTAGTGGGATGACCCCTAGAACACATGGAATTGCCTGGAAATGTCGACTGGTCAGGAGCAGCTAGTTCTTCTTAGAGTGGGCTAATTCTCAGTTATGCAGTATCCACGTTAATAGAGATGGCTTTTGTTAATGACAGAACTTCCAGACACGCCAGCTGTGTGCCCTGCAGGCAGAGGGCCTTGTCTGGGAGAGCGCGGAAGTGTGCAGAGCACAGGTGTCTGCTCGTCTCGGGGACCCTTCTGGGTCGACTTGCAGTGGTTTCGACATCCTTTCAGGCTGGCTGCCATAATCCTGAAGGTGCAGACTGTTTAGTAACTGCTTCAATGTGGACACTTGGATTCTGCAAATCACGTGTGTGAGGCAGTCAGCGTTTGAAACAGGCTGAAAAGCAACCTGTCTCTGCCACGTGCCCTGCTGCCAAGGGTGAGCAGATCGAGGTCGGCCTGGCACGTTAACAAGGGTGTGGGTGCCAGGGCAGAGTTTGGGAAACTATTTCTGTTCATCTCTGCATCGTCTTCTAATAGTTTTTCTGTCATATTCCAGATTTTGACCCTCTAGTTACTGGGGAAAAAGAGGGAGGTGGGTGTCAGCACCATACCTGAAGGACACGTAAACTCAGAGCCCATTTTAAAATGTCACTCACATTGTGGTTAAGAGCATGGATTCGGGGGCTGGAATGCACGAGGGTGTCACCCTGCTGTACCACTTCCTAGCAGAGTGACCTCACACAAGGTACTTAACCATCGCTCTGCTTGGTGCCTGGGATGTAGTGTTGTGTATTGCTGCTGCTGCTCAGTGACTGCCATGGACTTCCTCAAATTTAACAGATTTGAAAATTCTGTTCTCTTCTGATACCATTTAAGGTAGGGACTTTCCTAACAGCTTAGAGCAAAATTTTTAGAAATAAAACATCTTCTCTAGAGAAGTGAATATCAAACTTTGACCTTCCTGATACTGTTACAGGTTCAAATCCCCATTGCGGTAAAAGTGAAAAAGTTGAATATATAATTGATGGGGAAGACTTTTCTACATGTATAATTCTGACCAAAGATGAGACGTTATTTCTTCCCCTTTTACCAGACACATTTATAATGTGAAATGTGGATCTGGTACACGTAAATAGCAGATTGCTGTCCCTCCCCTGCTGTGATTGCTATCGAGTGTGCATGTAGAGGAGCACCTCACCTCCCTCTTAGCAAATTCATTGTAATATGGCGTCACTAACCACAGTTCTTAGGAGGCCCACCGGGTCTCTGGTCTTAATCATTGTGTGTGACTGAGTTTTCACTCTTTGACCTCCTTCTCCAGATTGCCTTCCCACCTCTGGTAACCCTGGGGCTGTGCCCTGTTGCTGTGTGTTTGGCCGTTTTTCCTGTTTAGCTTCTACCTATGGCTGAGATCATGCAGCACTTGCTTTTCTGCGTCTGGCTTATTGTCCTCTGCAGAGGGTCCTGTAGGTTCATCCATGCCTTGGCCATTGGTGGTGTTCCTTTTTATAGACCGAATAGTACTCCATCATTTATGTTTACTACAATTTCTTTTTCCATTCATCTGCCAAAGGGCACCTATTTTTTTTTCTTCAGGATGGCTATCATGGTGATGATGGAGTGATCAGAGACACAGGCGTCTCTCCCAGGTGCTGATTTCCCTTCCTTGACTGCCTATCCATAGGCAGCCTTGCAGGGTCCTGTGGGACATCCCTCCTTAGTCTTAGAGGAGCCTCCCCAGCTCTCCCACGGGGCTGCCGCAGCCTGCACTGCCCTTGGTGGTGCGCAGCTCCTTCCCTCCCACCTACCCCTCCAGCATGCCTTAGTTCCTGTCTCGCTGCTGACCATCCTAACAAGTGTGCCCTGGCATCTCAGTGGCTGGGCTTTGCATTTGCCTGGAGATTGGTGACCCTGGGTATCTTACATGGGCTTGTTGGCCATCTGTGTTCTTTCCTTAGAAGATTGTTATTCTGACTCTTGCCCTCGTTTTAACTGGGCCCTTTGGTTTTCTGCTGCTGAGTTGTACGAGTCTTCACAAGTCCCAGTGTTCTCGATTTCCCAGCCCACTCAGCCTT